TCACTTTCACCTTCTCCGCGCTGACCACAAAGAGAATCAATTTCATCAATAAAAATGATGGCAGGTTTGCTTTCGCGTGCCATTTCAAAAAGACTTTTAACAAGACTGAAAGTACAAGCCATAAACGTTAGAGGCTTTGTATCAGTCATTTCACAATTCGACTTATGAAAGCAAGCTTACCGTTCACTCTCACCCATCCATTTGCTCACTAGATCGGAGGATGAGACTGAGAAAAATGTAGAATTCGCTTCTGTGGCAACTGCCTTAGCAAGATAGGATTTTCCTGTTCCTGGAGGTCCGTACAGTAATATGCCCGACCATGGTTTTCGATTACCTTTAAAGATAAAAATGTTAAATCCTGAAGCACAATTTCAAGATTTCTCGGATGTTTCCGTAAAATCTGGGCTTCACATATTTACCAGTGAATAATTGTGGAAACTTGATGGGCAAAATCACCGCTTCTTTCAATGCTTCTTTAGCGGAGTCTAATCCAGCAACATCATCCCAATGTACATTTGGTTTTTCGCTAAGAATGGCGCCTAGACAATACAAACGCACCACCATAAACGATTAACATTGCTTTCAATGAAACGGCTACATTTGTAACAAAAATGTGTCCAGGAGGCTTACCTGATATTGCCCCTCGTAATTTTTTGGAATCAGTGTCATCTCCGTCATAATCTTCGCCTGAGCCAGTTTTCTTCCTTAAAAAAGCGGGTTTTTATTAGTGCATAATTTCATGTAATAAAATAACTGAAAATATCACGACGAATGAGATCAACTTTCACATTAACAAACGTAGATTAATGTTAGTCTCCATGTCGTTGACAAAGGTATCATCATATAATACCAACCTTCCTTTAGCACCGCTTCCACGTTCTGCACCGTTTTCTGGAATGGCCTTTTTCTGTCGAATTTCCTCTTTTAATTGTTCAGCACGATCAAAGTATTCGGTAATCTTTTTACGTATGGAATCTTTGGCGCGTTCATTTTTCTCGTCTATTTACATAATGGCGAGATTTGATTTAATTTCCCCTTCGAATCAGACGATCTATAAGCATTCGACATCTTCGGTCCGTATACCTACATTTAATTGCGTGCATGAAGCATTCCAGCGCACTTTGATAATACCTATATGCCTGTTCATAGTTTCCCTTTTTATCCTCTTCGGTAGCTTTTTTTACAATTTCTATTGCTTTCTAGATGGTTTCATTTTGGGAGTACACTTGAGGTTTGACAGATACGAGAAAAACAGAGAATATTATAAGTACTAACCCCGCGAAAGTCACAGTTTGCCATACTTATAACCTAATGCCTGGTTGGCTTTAACTTTAATTTGTTGATAAGGAGTAGCGTCGAGATGGGCGTTTAATGTTGCAAACTGAATGCAAGTCGTTCGTGATACGTATGTGCGTACGCTATACATTACACGTGATAATTTGTTAATCACGTGACTGATTTTTCATATGAGTTACAGCCACAAGTGGGATCCGATTGGTCAGGTTCCAGGGAGGCGCAACGTAAAAATTTCATTATAAAGGGAACGGTCGTGGCATTGTTGCAAAATGTTTGAAAAATTTTTTTTTTTAAAATACAATAATTCTGAAAATTTTTCTTGTCAATAATGGCGTCTCTCCAACGTCGTTTTACTTTAATTTTTGCACTCTCTATTCTACTCATCTTCATAATTTTACCTAATGTACAAGCCTGGGAGATGGGTATGCAAAGTGTGTTCTACTAAACGGTCTCAGAATGAGAATTGTATTAACATTCACAAATTATGACGATGGTTTAGAGGATCACGAGATTTTCGAGCTGGTTGATCGGTTAACAATGACTGAAGGAGAAGACGTTACATTTTATTCATTTCTCAATGTTGAGTCTTCAGCCACTGAAAAAGAAAT